GTATGTTTTCAAAAGTTTCGTAAAAGTGGAGATGGTAGGGGCAGTGTGGAGGAGTTCAGGAGGATTAAACCATGCTTAGGGGGCCATGTCTTCCCAGTATCTATTCTACATACTTAGATTTTCAGCCGCATGGTGTTACTTTTACAGGCTATGATGAATCAAAGTGTCAGTGTAGCATCTTCCATGTTATATAGTTGCCTCTATGGCCGTAGCTGCTGGCTGTTTTTGTTTGTTTGTTTGTTTGTTTGTTTTAAATGACTAGTAGGTGTGCTATACCTCCTAATTAGCAGAGAACAGTAGCCCTCATGTGCTCCTGCTGTAGAATAAATGTAAGTTATTCTGTTCATTCCCATTTAGCTAGAGTTCATTTATATTCAATGTGCATTTCCAAAAGCTCATGTGATGTTGGGGAAAGTAATTCTGCAGTATGTAACAACATGCTCCATGCAAATACTGCAAAGGATTTTGCAAATGCACAGAGAAACAAGGATGTGTATTATCTTTATGCCAAAATTAACTCTAAACTTATACTTCTTCAGGACTAAATCATTTTATACTTTGTAATTGGATTACTAGATTCTAACTATACTGAAGTTAGATTCTTTTCATTTGTATTTCATTTATCCAGAGCAACTTTCAATACGGTTTAAAAAAAATAATTTGACTTTTATATCTGGTTGTCAAGCATGCCTGTGAGCCAGGATTAATTCATGCTGGGATATTCTTGACTCTACAAATGACCATTGTATCCAAGCCTTTGATCTCTCCCTGTGCTGTTAACTAGCAGCCTTTTATGTTGCTGTGCCTTAAACAAGATCAAATTTTGGGCATACTGCTCAACAATGTTCCCTAAATGTCAAAAGACTGCAGTACAATGCAAGCACCAAAGGGCTATTATTGGGTTTTAGAATTTAAATAAAGATGAGTTCAAAATAAATAAATCTTACCACCAGCAAAAAGACTTCTTGTGTTTTGCTGCTATGGAAAAAATTAAAAAGCAAAAGTATTTGTGTTGTCATCTTGATATTTTTTCAAACATGCCTCAAATGGTAAATTTTAATACCGCCTCTTAGTAGGCATTGAACACCTACAGAGACATGCTAAAAGCATGAAGTCAGTAGGACCTGAGGGTGCTTAGCTCTAGTAGAGCTGGTTGGGAATTATCCAACGAAACATTTTTTTCTATGGAAAATGCCAATTAGAAAGGGTCGGTTTCGACAGTCTCCCAATTGAACAAAATGTTGAAAACGTCTTTGTTTCAAAATTTCAGCTTATTTTTACTAAAAATAAAGGTTAAAATGGAAATCTAAATGAGAAATTTTGGCTGACCCAATTCAAATATTTTTCAGATTCTCGGTTTGGAAAAAAAATTGAGATTTTGATTTTTTCATCCCAATTTGGGACAAGAAAAAATATCAAAGGCTCAAAAACTGTCCCAGGATGGGAAAATATTTACTATCCAACTCTACTCAGCACCTCAGGATTAGGGCCCAGATTTATTTTAGTGTATCATTTTTCCTCAAGCAAGCAAGTTTTGCTATTTTCATAGTACAAACTTTGTTACCAGATATGGTTAAATTTAGCTCTAGATGAAATGAATGAATATATATTGAAATACTGTGTTTCAAATTGGAAATAGTTGCATGGAAGAGCTGAGAAAATTGAATTTAGCTTTAGTGGTAGAGTAGAACCCTGACTCTGTTTTCAGATCAACAGAAGTAACTCTGCTGCCGTCAACAGAATTACAGCAGTGTAAAATCAGGGCAAGTGAGATCAATATCAGGCCACCGAGTTACCAACTAACTAAAACCTACAGGTTTCATTAATATTCTCTCCCCTTTCTAACTCAGCTAAATGCTGAGAAAACTACTGTTCAGGTTTCAGCTTATTGTGATGTCACTGTCCCATGCCCGTTCTCATGCTATGTCATGCTAGTCCTCCAAAAATCCTCCACCAAAAACAAGGAAATCAAGATCCTGATATTCCTAATAATTCCAAGGTTCAAAATAAGCAGAAGGTCATCTTCATAGTTCATAAAGGAGTCTTAAAGGTCACAAATATGATTTTGAATTCTTTGCTGCTAATCTACCTTCAGACATATTAATTGCCATTGTCCTGAGGCTGAATTAATGAACTTTATGCTTTTCATCTCTTTCCAAACTGAGATGCACATCTTGGCCTTCTGAGCTGGGAATGTACTTGTCAGATGATTCCTCTCACTTTGGTGATGTACATCTCTGTTTGGGGAATTGGAATGTAACAGTGCCAACCCCAAGTGTTCAAAAATCATAAGTCAGGCCCCAAAAATCATGATTTAAATAAATAATAAGGTTTGGGTTCTTTCTATTTGCCTTCTGGCTTCTGAACCATTAGGGTGCATTGGGGTCATGTGTGACACTACACTCCATATGCATCATGGGGGTACGGTTATGATATGATTATGACATGATGCAATTTGCACAAGATGAGTCATGTAAGATGTCATTGGAAAAGTTATGATTTGCTGAATATGATTATCCTATTTGTATGCATGTATCCTTTTTGGATCTGAAGTTATGAATTTTGAGTAGGTATCTGTATTTCAAATGTGCTTACACCTGGGTAACACCCACTAGGCAAAATGCTTCCAGCCTAGACAGCTGGTTGTGAAGGGTCTATTCAGTGTAATAGGCCATTAGGAAAAACAAAAACTTCTCCTAAGGCATAATCTCCTGCCTGGTGAGCCTTCCTGAGAATGCTCCAGACAGCCTGTAAGTAATGGCTGCTATGACTCTGCAAGGGCATGTGACCAGACCACATGACTCTGGACTCCATTTTGGGTACCTGTATTTTTCCACAAACTGGTCTGGGAACCAATTTTTTTTAAAAAGGGTTTCCACCATATGGAAAAGCTGTATAAGGCAGGAAGAGACATCATCCGTGGTTCTTCATCTCCCCACAACTCAACACCTGAGAGAAGTTCTGGAAAAAAAAAAAAGGACTTGGAATGAGGGTGGGGAGCCCAAGCTGCAAAGCAAGTGCAGCTTGTGCCTTGAGAATCTGCAAGCCTGCTTGTGTCAGTCAGGGTGAGAAACTGCTAATTCATATCCCATCTGTCTAGTATTTTAGGCTTAGTTTGCAGTTTTGTTAATTTACAAGGTAATCTGCTTTGATCTGTTTATCACTTATAATCACTTAAAATCTATCTTTTTGTAGTTAATAACTTATTTTATATTTTAATCTAAACTAGTGTGCCTTTAGGTGAAGTGTCTGGGGAAAAAATCTTACCTTGGTTAACACAAGTTTGTTGTCAAGTATCAGAGGGGTAGCCGTGTTAGTCTGAATCTGTAAAAAGCAACAGAGGGTCCTGTGGCACCTTTGAGACTAACAGAAGTACTGGGAGCATAAGCTTTCGTGGGTAAGAACCTCACTTCTTGCATCTGCACGACTTGCATCTGAAGAAGTGAGGTTCTTACCCACGAAAGCTTATGCTCCCAGTACTTCTGTTAGTCTCAAAGGTGCCACAGGACCCTCTATTACAAGTTTGTTGCATATTCCTCTCCACATTAAGGGAGAGGCAAACTGGGTAATGAATTCATGCTGGTCGGGGTTTCAATCAGAGCAGGACGGTACAGCTCTGGGGTCTTAGGCTGGGGAGCTGGGGGGTTATCTTGGCTGTAGCCTCTCTATTGTTGGTTCGTGCAGTGCCTCGTTGGTGCCTGTATGTAACTGCAGCTGGGTGTGTCCCTGCCTGTGTACATCGGTCTACAGCTCGTCCCAGCAGTACAGTGTAAGAGGGAGCCCAGGCTGGTGGGTCAGAGAGCTCAGTAGAACCCCAGTTCCAGGTGGCACCCAGGAGGAACCCATCACATCAGGTTTTCAGGCTTTCATTTTTCCACAACCACAAGGGGTAGAACCTTACTGTTTTTATTTGTTTTAATAAAAGCTGAGATGCTCATGCCTCCAACAGCTGAGAGGTTAGGAAAAACACCAAATATCATGAGAGTTGCAATCAAATCACAAGAGTTGACACCATTGAGAATAATAGTAACTCTCTCTCTCCTGTCCTGATGTTTTTAGTCCTGGCTAGTGTTTGATGGGAAAAAGAAATCTATTGCTGCTACAGAAATTGGTGTAGATAAAGGAGAGATTTTTAAGGATTTTATAGGTGGATTTTCCAGCTAGAATTTGCTACATGCCAATATTAAGGCTTTATACCAACTGGCCATAAAAGTTAGTCTATCACTTTACTTAAACTCTTGGTCGTGCTGGGAGCTTTAATGGTTTTAGTGGTGTGTGAAATAGGGATATATGTCTGTGGTGTTATTTATATGTCTCCTATGTCATAAAAACAAGTGGAGGGGAAACAAAATTAATACAAAAGCTTCATAGCATCAGTTCAAGCACATTCTCCTCCCCCGCTTCACAGGTTTGGCAGAGGTGCAATACAAATAGGTTTTTGGACCATATAAAGGTAGAGAAGGAATGGGGATCATTCACATTTGCCCTCATTTCTGATTATCATCATTATTTTCTTGCCATAATCCCATGTCCAACAAGAACATTTTTCAGGATGTTCCCAAATCTAGAAGCCACTTTTGAAGTGAGTGAAATGTCATTAAATTGCAAAATTGCATGTCATTATGTTGCAACAAGACATTTCAACCTGACATTGCAGAAAATTGCCATTGCAACATACCCAGCTTGTAACGCTGTGATACAAACACCATGACATTGTGAAGGAGGAGTTTGTTCCACTGGAGAAACTAAGAAAGATTTCTGGGGAATGTAAATAAGGCTGCTGTAAATATAGGCCATGCCTAAATAAATATTAAATAAATGGAATGTGTGCTGTGTCTGTTGGAAGTATAGTCACCATTTAGGTACTTGAGCCATGAATAACCCACAGGAAACCACAGCTTTAGGGCAGTCTCTTTACAGACACTGTTTTATTTAAATTCTTGTAATATCTTACTTATTCTTGATCTATTATCATTGTGCTTTCTTCCAAATGCTGTCAGATGGGGAGCTTTCCATACCAAATGAAGGATCATTGGAGAATGGGCAGGCTCTGAGCTCCAGCCAGATTTCACTACCAGGCCTAGCAGAACTGGAATCAGGTTCCGCGTCTGGGGAACCCTGTTCGTATGAGGTGCTCCCAACCACAGATATCATGGATGGGACAGGTAACATTTCTATTTTCATTCTAAGATACAAAATATAGAATTTTTTCAACATTATGCTCTTTAAAGCTTTTTTAAATTGGCTTCTGATGGTTTTTGGTCTTTGATACTTAATGTTTAACACACAGGAGTTCTCTTGACATACAGGAGTAGATATAAGCCAGAACCAGAACCTCAGATCCAAACACTTCAGAACTTGGGGAAAGTTTGGATTCAGGTCCAACTTTGTAACTTGGTCCTGTCTGTATGCAGGACTATAGACTGGGGTTACCGTCTTTCTGTAAATATACTACTAGTGAGTAACACGCATAAATAAGAATGCAAAGTAAAATCTTTGTACATTTCAAGTCTGGAAACTGTATAGATTTAATTTCATGTTCTCATTGATATTCTGTGTTCTTTGCTATTTGGAAAGAAGATTTTGTAATGAAAGCAGAAGCCTGGCAAGTCTTGCGTACTCTCAGATTTAGAGCGGAGGGTTTTATGTTTCACTGTTGTAACAAAGCAAATAGCTTGGTAGGTAATGCCAAGGCTCTAACAGGCAGGGGGGCTGTGATAAGGAGTTCTGAGGGATTCTCACATCTAGAGCAGAATGAGAACATAGTTAAGATAAAAGAAAGGCAGACCATTTATCATATGGACAAGGTTTAGACATTGTATAGCTCAGAAGTAACCCTCTGCTTTCCAGTTCACAAGGTTAGTGCCTCAAGAGCAGCTGCTCAATAAGGAAAGCTCAGCACAGGAGCTGTGATTTCAGATTTTAGGGTAAATTGATAGGTCAGGAAAGTCTACTCAGACCCATTGGGTCACCGAGTGACAAAAGAGCTATCTTGACATAAGGAATGTGAGACCTAGTTGTGGATGAGGGAGTGACAATGTTCGAATTAGCTTTGGGCATCTCTTAAAAGATTTGGAGTTTCTGTTTAGATGAGGCGCAACCTCCAAAAATCTAGGTACTTAAGCAAACTGTCTGAACTCTTTTTCTCATAGTATTTCAGCACATGTGCTGCTGGTCCTGGAGAGGCACAGGCATAAAGATTGCTATCTTTAAATATATCAGAGGGATAAATATAAGGGAGGGAGAGGAATTATTCCAGCTTAGTACTAATGTGGACACGAGAACGAATGGATATAAACTGGCCGTGGGGAAGTTCAGGCTTGAAATTAGACGAAGGTTTCTGACCGTCAGAGGGGTGAAATATTGGAACGGCCTTCCGAGGGAAACGGTGGGGGCGACGGACCTGTCTGGTTTTAAGATTAAGTTAGATAAATTTATGGAGGGAATGGTTTAATGGTAAAACAAAGTAGCCAAGGAAAACCAAGCAATGATACGTAAATAGTATAATGGCCAACAGGGGTCAGACTAGAGACTCTTGCCTACATGCTCGGGGTCTTACTGATCGCCATATTTGGGGTCAGGAAGGAATTTTCCTCCAGGGTAGATTGGCTGAGCCTCTGGAGGTTTTTCGCCTTCCTCTGCAGCATGGGGCAGGGATCGCTAGCAGGAGGGTCTCTGCCGATTGAAGTCACTGAAACACAGGATTGGGGACTTCAACGGCAGAGTCCAGGGAAGGGTTTTGTGGCCTGCAGCATGCAGGGGGTCAGACCAGATGATCATAATGGTCCCTTCTGACCTTAAAGTCTATGAGTCTATGAAAATATGGGGGGTTGGAGGGAAGCAACCATATTATTATTTGTACTAACATCAGAAAGGTTCGGTTTAAGTCATGAACCAAAGTTAATTTAACTTATTTTATCTGACTTGATCCACCTGTCCCTGGTGCAGATGCCTAGACCCATCCATTCACCAGCTCAAATAGAGAACCTTATGTAATGAAGTTCTGACTTTGGGAATCTAAAACCTGACCATTCTAAAGAGGCCACTGGTAGCGACCCCTTTCACAGCTTCAGGATGGCCAGCCAAAACCTCCTGTTGAAGAGCACCGGCTTTAGTGTTCAACTTCTGCTTTTGTTGTCCTTGAGAAAGTTAAGTGGGGTGTCTCTGGTGAGAAACAACAGTCCACTTGAGCTGCATCTGATTGAATCAGAAGTAACGCCTTTGGCTTCAGTGGAATGCCTCTCAAATCACAGTTTGACTAGAAAGGGGTCACAGTCTTCATACCTGGGCTGCGGAGATGTGGATCAGTTAGGCCTTGCACCTGTTGAAGAAAAAGCCGTTCAATTATACTGTACAACAGCAACAACATAACAATTTCCATGTCTGTTATTCTGAGAGAGAGAGGGAATTGGATGGAAACCACAATACCATTCAAATAGCAATGGGCGAAATTCAGCCCCACTGTGAAAGGCATAACTTCAGAGAAGAAACTGCTACATAAGAAAAATAACATTCTTAAGAACCAAGATGATTGACTCTGGTGTTGCTTTTCAGCTCTACCGCTCAGTTCTACAGCAGACTTCAGAAAGCATTTTTGAGGCATGTGGCACAAAATGTGCCTTTCACCAGCTGTGTGGCAACTATTGCACATTGCTCCAAAGAGGAAGAATGAAAAGGCATGTGTAATTGGTATAACTGCATATCCGTGATCCTGCACAACTGTGTGGTCTTTTGAAAATATAATGGACCCTGCCAGAGAGATGGGCAGGATGCCATTGTGTGGACACATAAACCTGTCGACTAGCTACTTGTTTATTGATTGTGTATTGTTACCCGTCTGGGGTTTGACATTTCAAGGCTCTTGATTGTGTTAAAGGTGTGTGGGACTAAATTCAACTCTGGTGTCAGTGAGAGATGCTCCATTGCTTTTAATGGAGAATGACCCAGTGCTGAAATTGGCCTGTGGTGTAGGTGTGTGTGTAGGGGGGTGTATGTATGTCTCTCTTTCTTTCTTTCTCTCTCTCTCTCTTTGTGTTTTTACAATGTTTGAGCACAATCTATTAGTTACGTTTTTAATCTGCATCTCTGTGCTGTTTTTCTTCTCTTACTATTACTGTACCTGCTGCCACTCTGCTTGTAACGTTGTTGCGTCTATGATGTGGTTGTGTCCTCCAGTGTCTGAAGAGAGCCCCAGATCCAGTGAGTCTGGAGTCCTCCTGTCCCAAGATCCTTCAGCTAAACCAGTCCTGCTACTTCCCCCCAAAAAATCTGCTGCTTTCCCTGGAGACCATGAGGACACCCCAGTGAAACAGCTGTCCCTCCTCAAACAGCCCCCTGCCCTGCCTCCTAAACCCATTGCCAGGATTGCCAACCACTTAACTGGTAAGTAGGTGTTCCTGAATGCTCTGCACCACTACTTCCCTTAAAGGAACAGTCCACTCCTGTACTGAGAGTCTCAATGTATTTCTTTGGTAAAGCTGCTGTGTTAACGTTTGCATGTGTATCGATATTGTGTGTGTGTCATGGCTGTACTGATACAGCAGGGCAGGGGCTCTCAAGCTATTTCATAGGTGGATGACCTCTTAATAGAGATGGATACCTCCGTCTCATCTACAGTCACACAGACTGCCACTCCTCCCAGCCTCCTAATCATGACCTTGATCACCAACATGCAACCTCACCTGAGCAAATACAGCAGTGACTTGGATAGAAAAATAATGATAGGAAAGTACTTTCGTATCTTGAATCATGTTTCATAAGATAAGCCCTTTGTTCTTTTTTGGGGGGTAAATTAATCAGATTCTCTCCCTTTGCTCTTTGTTACATCTCCTCCAGCTTCCATGAGTGCTGTTCTCCCAACTTTTTCCCTCCATTCCTCTGCACATGCTTCCCTGAGACTCATACAGACGCCCCCCCAAGTTACGCAAACCCGACTTGCGCAAATCCGCACTTACAGAAAAAGTTCCATAAGCTAGAAATAGTTTTTTTGTTTGGTTGGTTGGTTGGTTTTTGCTTAATGGTCGGGTATACGTTTCCAATTTACGCAAAATTTGAGTGACGCAAGGCATTCCAGAACGGAATGCTTGCGTAAGTCGGGGAGCGTCTGTAGACTCTAAGGCCAGAAGGGAACGTCATGATCATTTAATCTGACCTTCTGCACATTGCGGGCCACAGAACCTCACTCACCCACTCCTGTAATAGACCCAGAGCCTTTGGCTGAGTTACTGAAGTCCTCAAATCATGATTTAAAGACTTCATGTTACAGAGAATCCACCATTTACACTAGTTTAAACCTGCAAGTGACTCATGCCCCATGCTTCAGAGGAAGGCGAAAAACCTCCAGGGTCTCTGCCAATCTGACCCGACTCCAAATATAGCATTCAGTTAGACCCTGAGCATGTGGGCAAGATCCACCAACTTTCTGGACAACTGGGAAAGAATTCTCTGTAGTAACTCGGAGCCCTCCCCATCCACTGTCCTATCACCAGCCATTGGAGATATTTGCTGCTGGCAGTCACAACTCAGCTACGTGCCTTAGAGGCAGTCTCATCATACCACCCCCCCAACAAACATATCAAGCTCAGTCCCCTTCTTTCCCAATTACTCAGCCCTCTGGTTCCTTGCTCATGATCACTGGCTACCCAGTCCCTTTCTCCATGGCTTCCCACTGGTGGATGCTAGTGGTGATTGACAACTCCAATTCCCCAATTGCTCTGTTCCTGCTCCAGTCCCTGAAGGATGCTCCAGTTTCCCTTCCTGATGTGTTAGAGACTGCAATGGAGGCAGAGTATGCAGTCTCCCCTGCCTGGTTTCCAGCTGCTTCTACATGCATCAAGGCTCTTCTTTGCAATTAAGAGCCCATTATCTGTAAAAGCTATTAGAAGCAAGGAGGAACAGTCAGCTGTATGTGACCAGTCAACCCTCCCTGGACTACCATCAGACCACTGCTGTAGAGAAATATTACAGGCGCATACACACAAGGACCATGAAACATTTAAATATTCCTAAAATACATGTCTGTACCTTTTGAGATGTGTGTGTGCACAATTCCCGTTGCTTTCAGAGAGAGCAGCACAGGTTAGGAGGCTATGAACTCCTGGGTTTTAAACCAGTTCTGATAGTAACTCCCTAGGTAACTTGGGCAGATTGCAGCCTTTTCCCCTCAGCTACCCCTCTGATATTAATACTTCCCTGCCGCAGAGTGGTGTGGTGAGGATGATCGCTTCCTGTTTATACAATGCTACGTGTTACTATTTTTTTGCCAGATCATTTTGTTTTATTTTGACTATTATAAAATAAAAGAATCTTTACGAAAGAGCATATATTGCTTTTCTCACCTATTTCTACATAGCGTTATATCTAGAGGGCCAACTGATTTGTGCTTTATTTACTTTTGTTCACTTTTATCTGAAATTTATATGGGATTTCTTCACTTTTGCCACCTGCCACAATCAACTCTACATTGATTTATTTTTTGCCTAAAACTGCAAACCAAAGGGGCAAAAGCAGGCACCATTACTTCATTTGGGGCTACAGCTGCTTGCACCAGCTCTGAATTTGTTTCCCATCCATTCTTGTAATTCGGTTTACCCCATGAGTTATTGCTCACAAATGAAGACGCAATTAAGAAACTAACATAAAGGAAAACATCTTCTGCTAACTGTGCATTGTACAGAAACATGAGGGGGGAGAGAGAGACTACCCTGCTCTTTAAGTTAGACGAAAAAACAAACGATGGATGGAGATTGATGTCTGCTTCTGTGTATTTTGTAAATCAAATTTTTATATAGACTGAAATCTGTCTTAAGTAACCACTCAAGGGATCAGCATGTGTCAGTTGTTTAACAGAGATGACCCTCCAATAAAGGTGAAGCAGAATTGTACTCTGTACTTCTGGGGCTATAAAGACAGATGGTTGCCTAATTAGGGTGATTGCTCAGCTCATTCTCTCCCACTCAGACACACACTCACTTGCATGTAGACATGATGACATACACTCTCACACTCTCTCTCTCTCTCTCACACACACACACACACACACACACACACACACGTCCCTGTGGGAGAGGGGGTACAATTTCAGAATTAGTCACAAGGCCCTAGTTTAGCTGGTAGTTGCCTCTTGGTAGAGCTGACAGCTTCACCCATATATACCCTTATAAACATTAACATCTCAGACCAATAGGTTTGACTTTTTCTTACTGGGAGGGTCTAGGGACATATATTTCTATATGCCTTATGCTACCCTTTTAGATTATAGTAGACTTGCATAATCCCTGAAAATGAGCAGTGTCTTAATGAATCACCCTCATCACGAGAAAGCTAAATTAACCCTATTCTTTTACTAATTACTCCAGAGACATCCTTAGTTTGTGTGTGAGAGAATTAATAAAGTCAGACTTCTGGTGCTCCAAATGAAGATTTTTCAGGTTTTCATTGCACTTTCAGTGTTTGTTTTTCTATTGAGGATTTTGTGAGGTGAGTGAAGGACAAATTAAGACACACCAAGCATGACTAATAGAGAGTGACAGTAGTTAATGGTCTGGTCGATCTGTTCAAGAAGGATATGAGAGGAAACGTGGTCTTGGAATGAGTTTCATTTCAGGTATAGTGCTGATGTGGAGCTTGCAGAAATGCTTCTGATCTTTTATCTTGTTTTGTTTATTAAATCAAATACAAGAATACCTGAGAATATATAATTACAAAATCTCCACAGGCCTGGTCAGCAGAGAAAAAAAAAACAGTTAAATACCTCAAATAGTGTGATGGTTCAGTGACTTAAAAATCAGACCATCTTCTTGTCAGGAAACTCTGGGCCAAATCCTCATCACCTGCATGAAGAATGACTAAAGGGATATGTACAAGGGACCTTGTGCAGATCAGGCAGGACTTGGGAGACAGAATCCTCCCCTCCAACAGGATCTAGGATCCATCTCACACATCACCACTTTCTGTTCAAGTGCAAGACTATTTGTTACTGAGGGCAAGGTCAAACTCATAGCAGAGCAGGTATAAAGTAAAGAAAAATAAATGCAATTAAAATTGGAAAAAGAAAGAAACCCTCCGTTTTACTGTGGGAATGAAAAGGGAGAAAGAGAATCACATGTGGAAATTTCTAATCACATAGCTTAGAGCTGTTCTGGTAGGTTCTCGGGTACTGTGGAGATGAGGAGGATATAAGAACCTGAATCGAAGAGAAACCAGAGCAGGCTGGGAGTGAGACTGCCTCCTCTGGAGTCTTTTACTGGTAGGGGGCTTCACATCTTTGTAGTTCACAGACCCATGTTCCTGCCCCATCCACCCCAAAACCATCCATCTTGCTTTTATGGAAGGAGCAACCAGAGAGAACTTCTCTACAGTATGTGAAGGGTGTTGGATTCCCCTGAGCAGCCCTTTCTGTTGCCCGTTCTCTGTCTTGCACGCTCATAATCTGAACAGGAAAAAGCAGCATTTGCGCTGTAATCATCAAGATCCATCTCTACATAGTACAAAGCAGTCAGCCCTAGGAAGAGAACATGTCTTGTTATTGTTTCAATACAATTTCACCACTCAGCATTCCTCACTGGCCAATTATTTTACAATGATCCTTCTGCCAGTTGTTAAATAATGATCATTAATAATAAGCCATCCTTCATTGATAAAGCCCCTTTCATCCACCAGAGTCCTAACACTCTGATATACCAACTTTACACAAGACTCATCTTCACCCCCCCCTAAAAGGCAGATATCTCTGGGGTGGAAGATAACAGTGTATAGCAGCGTTACACAACCATTCTGGGCAAGAATTGCAAAATACCACATCTGGTTGAAATTGTGGGGGGAATTTAAATAACCATCTGAGACTGAATTTGTCTGGGGCCTTGGGATTAATTGCCAGGAGATCTTTAATGACCAGAAGAGGCCAGGACATTGGTTGTATATCTTCTTTGAAAAGCAACGCTCCCAGTATCACAGTGCCCCTTCGTCTCATTGTCCGTTAATCCATTACTTCTCAGTACCAAACTTGAGCTTTTCTGGGATTAACCCAGCCACATTCAGATCAAAAGAATGAACTGCCAGTTATCTATGAAATTCTCTAAAAAATCTGTGAGGAAAACATTTGGGGCATAACTGTTACACCTGTGTAAATCCAGAGTCAGTGAGATTACTTCAGTTTTACATTTGGGGTAACTTTGAACAGAGTCTGGCCCTTTAATTCAACAATCACATTAGAGCTTTTAAAAATCCTTTTAGCATCTTGTCAGTTGTTCCTCCTCCCAGTGCCGGGAATGAAAGTTTGTCCCGTTTTTAGTTCTAAGAACACACAATCTAGTTATGCCTATATACAGTAAGATTCAAACTATCGGCTGGCAGAATAACAGCGATAATTCAAATATAGAGCA